CCGTGATTTTTGTTATATTCTTTTGCAAATGTTAGTGGGAAAGTGTGAGGAGGAGGAGGTTGATTCAATATTTGATGGACCTATTGTGACCTCTGACCGCTCTATTGTTGGTGGTCAATTTTGAGTTGTGAGCAAGTCCGGAACTGCGCTTCGACTGTGGGAAGGAACCGGCAGAAGAGGAACGAAGACGGAAGTCTACGCTCCAGAAATCCAAAAAAAAAATTTGGTTTCCATTTCGTTTGTTTTTTTCGGGGACTAGCTATCCCGAAATGATTTGAAATCCCGACTGAACAGGGGGAGGTAGAGTTTGCCGGACGAATACAACACTGTTTAGGACTAACCAGGAAGAGGTAACAGTGAGTTTAGCAGAGAGTTATTGAATTTTGCCAAGAATGTGCATAGTGGAATGTTCTATTCAAATAGATGGGGTGAAAATATGGCATTAATGCGAATGATGTGGAAGTAGGAGGTTGGCACATAAGTAGAGTATTAAATATGAGTGTTTTTTGAGTGTCTTCCGTTTCTTTTCTCATCCTCTGATTTCTCCATCTTTTTTTCCCCACTTTCATCAGTGGTCTGTTTTGAAATTTTGTTCAACATGCTTTGATTGTTGTTGTTCTTGTTACCTTCAGTGCTGCAGCTGGCAGTTGTCCCGTTCTTCTCCGCCCTGAGTTTTTCTCATCCGGTTGCAGCTAATAAGTTGAGATGTTAGTTTTTGTATGATGTTTTTTTTTTTTTTTTATGTTGCATTTCAATTGCATTAATTTGTACTTTTAAATTTGCTATAAAAACATGCATTATCTGTTGCTTGGAGTGGCTCATTTTGTGGTGATGGTGTATCAGTCCATCCCAAACAGTATATTCGGCTTTTCGCCAATTTTTTTCCCAGAGTGGTTCGCCATTAATTTGCTCTGTGAGTACCTGGATTTTTTTAGGATAGCATTGATGTTAATCAGTTGCTAGGAATATCATAATCCGGCAAAATGCGCAGTGCATCGTGGTGGAATTTTGTTTTCTTCTTGTTTCGATATGCAGTATTTTGTAGATAGCCTGAGTTTCCAGAGTGATAGGAACTGCTAGCGGATTTTACAGAATTTGTTCAGTGGTAGATTAACTGCAGTTATTTCTCTCTGAACGATTTTTGTTGGGATTGTGCTTAATTTCGGTACTAACATCTGTTTCAGCAATTAACAATGGGTGAGACCGCGCAGCTTGAAAATGCGGAAGCAATTAATCCGAGCGATAATGCGTTTCCCAACAGGACAGTGATGAATGAGCAGAACGCTGAGGAAAACGGCGATGCTGGAATGGACATCGAGAGAATGCCAAGTGAGGGAAAAGAGGGAGAGATGTTGGAGCATGCAGCAGCAAGTGCTGCTTCTGAAGTGGAGCTGGAGGACAAGTATCAAGCAAAAAAGGAAGTCGAGGACGAACTGGAAAAAACAATAAATGAAGTAGCCGAGGTATGTTAATTTTGCCGATTGACAGGTGCAAAAATCGTTGTGAGTTACAGAGCATCCACTGTCAAGAACCAGTTTCACAGTTTTCTTACATAAATGCAAAACTTAAATATACGAAAGGCTGTGTGTATGTGTGCATATGTATGTCATTAATTTTAAATTTTTTAATTTCTCGATCAGAAAACAGTAAATAGCAACGCGCACCAGACTAGCCGGTGCGATCATGCGTTTTGTGCAATTTAGCCCATCGAACGATTAGTAATGATTTTTACTTCCTTGTACTTTAGTCTATGCAAAAATAGTTCAAACATTGAAAAACAGTTAAGAAAATGATTTTCACTGCTTTGTACTTTAGTCTATGCAAAAATAGTTCAAACATTGAAAAACAGTTAAAGATTTCACTTCCTTGTACTTTAGTCTATGCAAAAATAGTTCAAACATTGAAAAACAGTTAAAAACTTTTCACTGCTTTGTACTTTAGTCTATGCAAAAATAGTTCAAACATTGAAAAATAGTTAAAAATTTCATGCACCAGTTCACTGCTTTGTGCTTTAGTCTATGCAAAAATAGTTCAAACATTGGAAAACAGTTAAAAATTTCAACAGACTAGCCGGTGCGATAATGCGTTTTGTGCAATTCGGCCCATCGAACGATTGCCTATTAATGATTTTCATGCTTTGTACTTTAGTCTATGCAAAAATAGTTCAAACATTGGAAAATAGTTAAAAATTTCACACACCAGTGCTTTGTTCTTTAGTCTATGCAAAAATAGTTCAAACATTGGAAAACAGTTAAAAATTTCACGCACTCTTGTACCTTTTGTCTATGCAAAAATAGTTCAAACATTGGAAAATAATTAAAAATTTCACGCACCAGCGCATGGAAGCTGAATTCGAGACCTTGAAGGGTGAATATCTCTCCATGATTCCCGAGTTGATAGTTTAACCGCCAAAATTCTCACGAGGCCGTAGGTGACACTCAGCAGCGAGGGAACGCTGAATTTGAATAGGCAAGATTGAGCGTGGGCAGGGGTCTCTGCCCTAAAATTTCAACCTCCTACACTCCGTGGTTCCTGACATATTATTTATCAGTAAAAAACTTTCATGGGGTCGTACGTGTTGCCCGCGAGTGCGGGGAGGCTGAATTTAAATTTGCTGCGTCACCCGTTGGCGAGGAACACTGTACCATAATTTCAGCTGCCTAGCTTTTGTGGTTCCCGAGTTGAAAGTGCGGGACAAAATGTGGGACACACACACAGACAACCCCGTGACAATATGCGTTTCGTAACGCTGTTACACAGCACAAAACGCTTAAAATCCAACTTCTGATGACGTAATCTTTTCATTTTAATCTGTATGATGCTAATTTTCAATCTATTCCAAGCTATAACTGTAGATAAATGGACAGTTTGAAACAACTAGATAATTTGGTACCCATGTGTGCAGATGTACAGAAAAAGCATGTTTGCGTTGGTCCTTTGTTTCGTGGCTCTTTTCTCTAGCCGTGGGGAAAAAAATTGTATTTTGGCATAGAACAAAGTGTTTGGGACATGAGATAACTTGCCATTGAAAAGTCAAATTGCGTGCAACTGCTGCTATTCTATTTTGCGGAAACTAGCTATTTTTATTACAACTTTGGACAGATCTTGCATGGTCTCTCTCCCCTGAGATTGTCTGAACAACTGATTCATTTTTTGAAGGGTCTAGAATATTTCATAAGATTATCGGAGCCAGTTGCCTACGAGATGCTCTTTTTATGCGTTTTGTGCTGTAACAGCAGTACAAAACGCATATTGTCACGGAGTTGTCTCTGTGTGTG